GGGGGGATGGGCAACGGTAGTTACCTTGGTGACATCTTCGAGACCTTTTTGTGGTATCTGGGGATCTGTTGTGTGTTAGAGTGTATTTCAATCCTCCTGTATTATTGTGGCAGAAAAACTGTGCTGTTGACGTAGTTGGCAACAAGATGCCTTGGGAAACTTAATAGTAGGTCAATGTGTTTATGGGATATTCTGAACTCCTAGGAAGTTTTGTTCTGTATTTCCAAGCATTATTTGGTTTTCATTAGTGGGAAACATAATTAGCTCGGGCTTATCAGGACTCTCATATTTTTTCTTGGATCCACCTGGGACACTGAAATCCATTTTGGGGGGTACACTAACACGCCGTCCTTAAGAGCGGCGCAATTCAGAAGTTAGAAATTGGCACTGGCATGGAACAAGTTTTCTCTTTGGTTTCGATGAAGTTTCAGTTACTGGGTTAACCTGCTTTGGACCTTAGCCCATCCATTTCTACATGAACCGATTCCATTACTGTGTTTGCATGGGTGTCTGTACTATACACACACACATATACATTCAAAAATGATTAAGAAACAGAGTTATCATTGGAACAAAACGAACAAAAAAAGATTCCAGCACTTGTGCTTGAATTTTCTCGGTGGCTTGTATATGTTTGTCCAGGATACATGCATAAAATATACAATTTGCAAACATGTCAGTGAAACCTCATATGACATTTTTTAGTGACATGCATGTTTAATGTATGAGAAAAATATTTACTGATGTATTGTCCTTTGACTCTTAAAATATAAATACTATAATGCCACAAACTATTCGAATGTGACTTTTAATGTGACTATTAAAATGAGGTTTCACTGTACATTCGTGCTGTGATGAGATTCCACCTTAGAGTACGTGTATATGGATACAGAAAATAAGCCCTCATATGCCTGCTTTACGTTGCAGCCAAGTTACCACCAGATCACAACTGCCATCACCACCGACATTTTTAAAAACTGGTTGTTGACTACTAAAAAGTAATCAGTGGACAGGTCTTTGTTGGGAGCAGTAAGCACAGTAGTGTGATTATACCTGGGAAAACATCTAAGTCGCACACCTGTATCCTCCTCAAAATCCGGCGAAGAATGCTATTTTTCTAGGCTGAGCTTTTGTTATAAACCTAATATTCAGAAGGCTAGAGTAACAATCCTGATGTGTCTTTTTTTTCGCATTTGTTAATTCTGAATGTATTTTTAACAGAGTGATTTTTTTGACTTACTAGTGTAATTTGCATTTTAAAAATAAATGGAAAAACAATTAAGTTTCCGAGCCATCCCTGAAAGCCCCTGCTGCTTCCCATGGTATATTTGCTTATGTCACTGACAGGGAAACCCTGTTAAATTTACATGAAGACAACGCTGATAGCCTGTGTGGTGCCGGGATGTGTCAGCAGTGAAACGAAACTGCCAGGTCATGGCACCATTTTTGCTCAGTCATAGGTAACATGTACTTTCATTATCTCCTGACACTGAGCGTTCTTTTAGAAGACTGTCTGCAACAGACTTGCTGTCACTTGGGGAATTTTTATTTCCTTCTATCTGGGATTTAGAGTTACCATCAAACTAACAGTTGACAGAGGTGTTAGGACACTGTATTAAATACCTTTGGTGAAATTATAAGTAAAGCTTTCCATTTTATTGTCCAAATTATTTTTTTTTAAATAATTTAAAATACTCATGTACTGCCCCTTTGATGACAGAATCTTTTTGTTGTTTTTATTGGAATATTGATATTCACCTCGATAGAAGACAATTTCAGTGAAGCATGTTGGGGTGAAGTAGCAAATAGAAAAGATGGCCCCTGAGATTAGTGGTTGTACAAACATCATCTCTGCTGAGGTTCACTGAATATTCCAAGAGGATGGAAGACAGGAACAGGCTGCTTCGGGCTCAGGCTTCGATGGGCTGTGGCTTTCCGCCCGCTCGTTACACACAAATGCACGCTAGCCCCCATCAGTCAAGACGCTGAAGTTGATGGAAAACAAGAAAGGCTTTTTGTGGCAGTATTCTAAGAAGCTGCAGCTCAGCTTGTAGTCCCTGACGTCTCCCTTGTGCGGTGACAGCCTTGTGAATGATCAAGTCTGCTTTTACTTTTTTCCCCTGTGTGAAAAGTATCTTGATGTGTTCATGGAAGTGGTTTGTGGATAACTGTCAGAATGTTTCTTCACACTGCAAAGTGAACAAAATTAATAGATCAGCTGTGTACGTGGATATACCCTAGAGAAAGTACTCCTTCTTTTGGAATTCTCAATAGAAAAGATGACCCCTTTGTGAAATACGTTGTGAGTATGATAAATATAACAGGTAGAATTAAGAGCTACATTTTGATAATTATTTAAAAATAGAACGTCTGCTGGGCACAGTGGCTCATACCTGTAATCCCAGCATTTTGGGAGAAAGAGGCAAGAGGATTGTCTAAGCCCAGTAGTTCTAGACCAGCCTGGGCAATATGATGAGACCTCATCTAAACAATAAATCAAAAAAAGTAGCCGGTCATGGTGGAGTACACCTGTAGTCCCAGCTGCTTAGAAGGCTATGGAAGGATTGTCTGAGCCCAGCAGACTGAGGCTGTGGTAGCTGTGAGTGTGCCACTGCAATCCAGCCTGGGCAACAGTGAGACTGTGACTTAAAAAAAACCCCGAAAACCACAGTCTCTAATACAGTAAAGCAAATATTCAGCACTCCAGTCTATTATAATGAGTGACCATTTTAATTCAGAAATACAAAGTCATTTTAAATAGGCCACATTGTAAACCAAACTTTTGAGATCCAAACCCATTCTTTACAGGGTCAGTAAACTAAGGCCTGGAGAGGTTAAGAAACTACTCAAGATTATCATATATCCTTAAAATGCAAGCAACTCGCCATCCCTCAGTCAATTCCAATATGTGTATTCCGGTCAGAATAGAATAAGCCAAGTCTCAGACAGTATCAACTCATCCTAGATTTTATAAATTCAAATGCACCCTGATAAGGAAGACCCTGAGACATATTAAATCATAAAATGCTTCTTAATTATCATGCATTTGGTTCAGTACAGTTTCAGTGCTAAATATGTTTTATTATAGTTCTTTCAAAAATCGATAGCACATGCTGATATGTAGACACGTATATATGGTGTGTTCTTGTATATTATTCAATTATGTTCAATTTCAGTGGTAGAAGTTTTTCTGTTATTTCTCTCACAATATTCTTTTAAATAACCAATATTAGTGAGAGTGAGATTACGTAAGTAGTGGCATCTTAAGTAGCTCTTAAACTCACCAAGAAAATCTTTCTTCAGATGTTTTATCTGCTAAAATTTTAGCACTCAGCGCTTGCTACTCAGGAAGCTTTAATATGAAGATGCTCACATTGTAAAATCCTGTTATCCTCATCATATGTGAATCTGCTTAGGACCTATGTCCAATCCTCTTTTCATGTTATAATATCTGTCTTTACCCACTTCCAAGAAAGGAAAGAACAAAATCTGTGATTGATATATTATGTCCAGATTAAAACATGCTAGCATCTTGAAACAATCACTTTAGATAGCTATGAGAGTACAATCTCTAAGACACTGGTCATTTATAAGTATATGTATTCTTTACCTATTAGTTCAACAAATATTGAACAAGATAATATGCTCAAGGAACACCTTTTCCACTGAAATCTTCACAAGTATCGTGAGTTATGACTGCTAGTGACAACACAGAAAACATATTTTTATATTGTCTAGAATTATAATAAAGGTCTTTTTATTCCTAAAACTTAAAGAATTTAGCTGTATGTGGTAACCTATACCTGTAATCCCAGCACTTCAGGA